TGTTGATGATATGCTAATAATGCGCAAAGACATTGCCGACATTCAAGCTACTAAGCGCATGCTTGCTAGTAAGTTTGATATGAAAGACTTAGGAGTTGCCGATGTAATTCTAGGAATTAAAATCCAGAGGACTCCTCAAGGTTTAGCTTTGTCTCAACCACATTACGTGAAAATGGTACTTGAAAAATTCAAACACTTGGAATTTAGAAGTGCAAGAACTCCAATTGACTTAAAACATCATCTCATAAAGAATAAAGGTGAAAGTACATCTCAATTGGAGTATGCTCGTGTGTTGGGAAGCTTAATGTACATCATGAAAAGTACACGACCTGATATAGCTTGTGCGATAAGTAAACTTAGTCGATTCACATGTAATCCCAACAAACATCACTGGGTAGCAATGAAACGAGTTCTGGGATATTTGGAATATACCCAAGACTACGCTTGCATTACAATAAATATCCTGCGGTTATCGAAGGATATAGTGATGCAAATTGGATAACCGGCTCAACAGAAACAAAGTCCACAAGTGGATATGTTTTTACTGTTGGTGGAGGAGCAGTGTCTTGGAAGTCTTCCAAACAAACGTGCATTGCTCACTCTACAATGGAATCAGAGTTTATAGCTTTGGATAAAGCCGGTGAAGAAGCTGAATGGCTTCGGAATTTTTTAGAAGACATTCCGTTCTGGCCAAAACCTTTGGCTCCTATTTGCATACATTGCGACAGTGAGGCTGCAATAGGACGGGCAGGGAGCGTTATGTATAACGGAAAGTCTCGTCATATACGACGAAGACATAACACCGTTAGACAACTACTTTCTAGTGGAATTATCACTATTGATTATGTAAGATCAAAGGATAATGTGGCGGATCCGCTTACAAAAGGCTTAACTAGAGAGGGAGTTGAGAAATCATCTAAGGGAATGGGACTATGGCCGAGGACAAGTCAACATGGCGGTAACTCTACCTAGAATTTTGGATGTTCCGAGATCTAGGTTCAAGGAGCTCAAACAAAGTTGTGATTGACCGGTTCAACATTGTCAAAATAAAATCTTTGGTCCATTCTCGTGATGAAGACAATGTTCAGTAACAAGGATAGAACTTTACACGTTCTTTAATGATTACCTAAGTTTGATGAGGTATTTATCAAATAGTGTCAATCTAAAGGATTACACGTTTAGGAATCACCTATGTAAGTGTGAAGTGGAAGCCGCTTCAATGAGAATTCTGTAAGGCCAATTCTCTACGCACTTATGAGACCAGGCGGTGTTCATGGCTGAAACGAACAAAACAATGAGAACTAAAAGACGGTTAAGGGTTGATTGTGTGACATATGGTTGTCTAGGTATACACTAAAGTTCGATGGTTCAAAGATATCAAATCTACCGATTGACCGAGTATATCCGACATATGTTCACTACGGAAAGTTCAAAGGGAAACCTACTTATCCAGATGCAATTAATCCTTACTTGCAAAATCACATAGCTTTCATCTATGATCTTTCTTGATATAGCCATTCCCATTCATGTGGGGGATTGTTGGACTTTAAGCCATTGGGCTTTAAAGTAGAAGAAGTGTGAATTGGAAATGGAGGGAAATAAAATGGAGGGAAATCGAAAATTTGAAGAAGTAAACTTTTGTCTTGCACTTTGTCCCTCATTGGTGAGGGACAACCACATTTGTGTGCTTATATATAGAATCACTTCTTAAAGCTCTTAAAAGGAGTTGAAGAGAATTAACCCTCGCGCTGTCGTCGTCGCTCGCTCGGCTTTGGATTTGGATTTGTCAAATGATCGATTGATAAGATTATTTTTGGACAAAATTTATTTAATTATTTAATAATTAATTAAATGCCAAATCACTGCTGAAAATACGCCAGAACCCTACTATGACTTGATGCATTAATCTGCATCTTCTTAGGTTCATATTCACCTATTACTTTCTCAAATTGTCCGAACGACACCAGCTATTCCGCTATGCTATCTAATAAGTAACTTTTGTCAATTTATAGGTTAGACGTAAAACATCAGACCATTCATTTATATATATGAAATTACTGTCACAAAATAATAGCCTAGGCATCCTTTGCATCATATGGATTTATCTCTAGATACAAGAATCCTAAGCGCAGTCATAGTTCCATTGTGCCCCACCTTAACCTATTTATTATCAACTTGGGCTTTCATAATTTTACACCTTTAATTATTTGGTCAAGTTTTATACACGGTTCCCTATTTCAAGTGTCAAAGTGGTCAAGGAAGATCAGAACCACATAACGTTTTCTTGTTATGGCCAAATATGAACAAGTGCACTTCATCTCACTAAACAAAGAAGCCTTTTAACAAGTGCAACAATGATAATACTCACAGAACCATCGTCAGTATAATTTCATGCCTTAACTCTTTTGTTTTGACAACTGGAACACAGAGCATCAGATCTGCAATAATCCTTAAATTCTTATAACAAAGGAGGGTTTGGGTGGGGGAAAATTTACCTGGCAGTGGAGAGTCTCGACGGACCTGCAGCGGCGCCGGCGAGTGTTGCTCGTTGATGGCAGCGGCGGGTTTGGGTGGGGGGAAGTTTGAGAGAGAGAGAAGAGAGAAGGAAGAAAAGAGGGAAAGGAAAAGAAAGGGAGTCGCTGAGGGTTTTTTAAAAACTCTCCGACCGATACGGTCGGTAATTGCGTCAAAAGTAGTCAACCTCGTTTTACTAAACAGTTCCGACCGAACCGGTTGCTAATTTTTTTTTTATTTCTTTTTTTTATTGTTTCCGACTGAATTGGTCGCTAATAGTGACGCCGAATTTTCCGCCAAAATTTATGACAGACATAGACGAAATATTAGTCGTAACTATTATTAAAAATTGAAAAATATATTTTTATGCATTTTCCGACTGATTCTGTTGGAAATTTCCGACTACTTTTTTTTATCGAAAATTTCGGTCGGAAATGGGGCATTTTTTAGTAGTGACACTTAGTCTTGAATTTCAAATTAGCAGCTCAAAAATTTAGGACACTAAGTTCAGCGTTCTCAAATTCAAGATATTTAGTCCTGAAGTTTGGGTGAATTGGCTAATTTTTAAATATATTGTAAATTGTGGATATATTTTAAATAGCAGGCTTAAAAGTGGCTATTGCTGCACTTCTCCCGTGAATCCATGTTTATAAGTTGCAATAACTTTAGAATTAATTTGAGGAATTTTTACCTTCCTATACTACATATTAAACTTTATTATTCTCCCTAATCAAGTTTTAACTTAATTACATGGGCATATATAATTTACTAATTATATACTACAAATTAGTATTAATGAGTATCCCTTTATATTATGAATTGATTAGGGAATTAGTTATTTCTCTATCCCTCCCCCCGCCTCCTCTCTCTCTCTCTCTCTCTCTCTCTCTCTCTCTCTCTCTCTCTCTCTCTTCCTCTATTCTTTCCCTAATTTTTCTTCCTTCATTTTTCTATGCTTTTTATCCTTCCTTTTTTTAGGGAATTCATCCATGAATTTTAATTGTTTTGATATAAAGTTTTAACTTACCAATTTTCTTTCATGTGTTTAAAATTGGTGTTCGAATTGAAATCAATCAATAAATTTTGAAGGTGTTTTGATTCTCCACCACTGACATCCATTAAAAAGTTTCAAGCTTTTAATTCGAATTTGGATTTTTAAAAATTATTGTTTGTTGGATTGGGTGTTGTTGCAAACAATTGAGAATATTCTTTAGAGTTTGTGTCTCAATTTTGAGGGTGTTTGGTGAAGATTAGACTTGATTTTGGCTGAATTGCATATTGAAACTTGAAAAAGAAGAAAAAGAACACATGACATACAATATACTTACGAAAATGTATTCTGTTGTAATTATATATTTTTTTCTTTGAATGTTGTATGAAAGTCGAAAAATAATTAAATAATATACGAATCGTTGTATGAAATTTGTATTTGGGGTATAAATACTATCTTTTTACAAAAAATTATTGATATGTATCAAAATTGTATTAAGATAACAAGCTTTGATTGAAATTTCAGAGAGGAAGAAGAATACGTCACATACAGAATATATACAAATCATATACAAAATACATACAAAAGATATATTGTATAAAATTTCTATAAAAATTATATTTAAGTTGTATGATGTTGTAGTTGTATTTAACTGGGTAAAAATAATGTAGAAAAGCTGTAGATAAGTTATAAATAAGTTTTATACTATATAATTAGTTATATAAAATACGTTTTTAGTTTATATGTTGTTATAGATATATCAAATTTGTACGATTTTTATTTTTAATTTGTATATTGTTATACCATGCAATTATATATTAAGCATCAATGATTTGATCGAAACCCTCATGTAGTACTCATGATACTACCATTCGGAGTACAGATAAAGGTGATATTGTTGAAACTCCTAGATCTACTGGGAATTTGCAAGATGGCAACCTACGTCCACTTCTCCCAAGCCAAAGGAAAAACCAAATGTTCAGCGTATAGTAAATCTTGAATCCTAAAGAATCAAAGCACACGCTCATCCCTATTTCAAGTTATGTTAAGAAAAACCAAATGTTCAAACGGAGCCTACAATTCTATTTCACTTCCAACTTTAATTAAAATTATAAAATTGAGCCTCATCCTCATTTTTATTATTCTTACACAAGTGGAGATATGAATTAAAATTTAATTTTTATTACCGAGCCACTACACTTTTATGACCTCAAAATTCAACATTTATTTTGGTTTTCTTATTTTTAAAGCACACATATGTTTATGTTATCCATCAAAAATATTTGGTTTGCCACTCTTCTGAAGGGAACAAACGTGGCGAGAACCCAAAATCACCAAGTGTCAAACTCTATTTCCTTCACAAAGCTACACGTCGCTTCTCACCGCTTACATTTTCTTATACAAACTCGTCCTATAAATTTCATTACTTTCTCGTATAAACACTTCAACTTTACTTTTCTGCTCAAACATTGTCCAAAAAAAGAAAGAACAGAAAATGAATCCTATAGACGATAAGAAGGAAACAGTGACATTTCGAGCAGTAAGCCACGACGAAGAAGGAAAAACAAAGGTAACAAAACACGAAGTAAACACACACAACATCGAAACCCTAAAACACATAGAGAAAAAACTCATAGACAAAGGCATACACAGAAAAGACCGACATCCAATAGATGGAATTCCTTTAACAAAACAGTCAAAATCAGGGCATGGTGGGAAGTTTACATGGGAAGGACCATTGGCTATAGATGAAAATGAAATGGATGCTGTACCAGTGGCTATAGATGAAAATGATCCAAATTATGTAGATGAGGAAGAAGAAAGGAGGATATTAAGAGGAGAAGTTAGTGGAGTTGAAGGTTTGGTTATTGGAGAAATTGATGTGGCTAAAGTTGCAAATAATGAAGGTGTGGGAAGAGTTGATGTTGTTGATCCTGTTTTGCGAACTAATATGTAAGGTTTTTTTTAATTTAATGACTTGTCAACCTAGTTAATTGAAGAAATTAGAATAATTATGGTTACGAAAGTACTAGGTCTTAACTTTGTTTAAAATTGAAAGTTTAGTGTTGTGTATTTCTCATATGAAGATGATATCAATAAATGTTCTGCTTTGTTCTACTACAAATTTATTTTTTGGGTAGAAGGCAAGTTAGTGTTATTTATTTTTCCCTTTCTTTACTCAAAGATGAACATGATTTCAATACATTTTCTGCAAAGACTCAAGTTGTTAATATGCTATTTAAAATAACCATAAGGATGCTAGTCAGCAACAGGGGATGTAGCTCAGATGGTAGAGCGCTCGCTTAGCATGCGAGAGGTATGGGGATCGATACCCCGCATCTCCATTTTACTTTTTCTTTTCTGTTTTTTCCTCTTTTATGTATTTATATATAACGGGCCGTTCTCATCAGGCTCTGCTCCCTTGTGTCCATCTTTTGTATGATATCACATTTGCCCATTATCATTTTTCAAAGGAAAAATCACGTAATACAGCAAATATTTGCACCGTATTTATTATTCGTGGTTATATTTGGAGAAAATTACCATTCATAGCATATTTGAATTTTATAGCAAATTTTAAAATAATAGATTAATTATTTTGAACTCAAGCAAGAAATTAATTTATTTTGAATTGAAAGAAGATAGTAATAAGTTCTCGTAGTTCAGTTAGTTAGGTCACCCGTTTAGTACGTGGAGGGTTCGAGTTCGACTCTTAATCAGAGTATTTTTTTTTTTGTATTTTTTTATTTCGTCTTGGTTGTACTTGTAGCGCGAACGAATATAGTTTGATACTAGTTGTATTCGTTATGCGTTGGTATTTGTTGTGCGTCTGAGTACAATTAATCAGAATATTTTTTTGTATTTTTTTATTTCGTCTTGGTTGTACCTGTAGCGTGAACGAATATAGTTTGATACTAGTTGTATTCGTTATGCGTTCTGCTGTGCGTCTGAGCACAATTAATTTAACCTGGTGACAGTTGAACAGTAGCTACAAATTGTAATAAGGCAAATTATATTGGCATTGTATACCGGTAAATCGAGCTCATGGTATATTCCGTTCTCCGATAAGATAAGCCAAGCTCGAGATATGATGATAAGCGACCGAAATCGAGGCAAGGGTCTCATCGAGTCAGAGTCCGGGGGCACGATGTCCACCTTCGAGAATATCGGGGTCGTGATCAGGGATCGGTCCAACCCCGCAAGACTTCAAAGAACGTTATCAGTCAATCAAGCACGACCAATAGAAGGCCGTAATATCAACGGCCAACCAGATATCACGGCGTGGACCTCGACACGTATCGATGAAGAACCGGCAATCAGTTGAACCAGATATCACGGCGTGGATCTCGACACGTATCGATGAAGAACCGGCAATCAGTTGAACAGAAGATATTTTACCTTTTATGGAATTATACTTAGAGTAAGATTTTCCTACTATATAAAGAGGGGTTTGATAATTTATTAAATACATTGTAACTCGCATTCCAAGGCAATATATTATCATATTCATTGTTATTGAATGTTCTTTTTCTTGTTCATCAATTACCACTTTGAGCCCGGATCGAGGGTGAATGTTACACTAAAGCCAAAATCATCCTCCTCGTGCGATTTGAATTTACTTTATCTTTATTTGTTCATTCTAACTCGATTTTTCGTCTTGTATCAAATTAATTCGCATATCCTTAAAACTACTTAAAAATTTAATTACTATCCGATTTTAAGGGTAAACATTTCGGCACTGTTTACCCACGTGGGACTAAGGATAATAGTGGCTATCTGATAAAAACTTCCATAACAAACCTTATTTTACACTTGTTCTTTTAAGTGTCTTTAATCTCAGGTCAAAGTCTGAAATGTTGAACTCACGGCCAGCCCCTCCAAACGTGGATACCGAGTCCAGTCACCATGGCGAGAATAATAATATAGCAACGAGGTGCCCCCTGTCGATCTCAGCGGAGTTCTAGATGCGGACCCGATGGACGCTAGCTTGCATGTGGCCATCAATGCAAATTTGCCTACCGATCTTGAGAACAACGTTCATGGGGAATCCAACCGGTTGCCCAAAATACGCACGACGGTGAAGGTGATGTTGGACTTTAGAGCATTGGGCTTCAAAGACTTTAAGCATTGGGATTTAAAGTCTAAGAGTGTGAATTGGAAATGGTGGGAAACAAAATGGAGGGAAATGAAAATTTGAATGAAGTGAGCTTTTGTCTTGAACTTTGTCCCTCATTGGTGAGGGACAACTATATTTATGTGTATATATATAGAATTACTTCTTAAAGCTCTTAAAAGGAGTTGAAGAGAATGAACCATCGCGCCGTCGTCGTCGCTTGCTCGGCTCGGCTTCGGCTTTGGCTTTGGCTTTGCATTTGGATTTGGATTTGTCAATTGATCGATAAGATTATTTTTGGACAAAATTTGTTTAATTAACTAAATGTCAGTTAGTTAGCCGCTGTCCGGGCGTGACCGCGGTAGGACCGCGCCAGAACACTGCTGCAGATTCAGAAGTCCACTCTGGCCGCGGTCCTGGCGTAACCGCGGTAGGACCGCGGCAGGACGCGCAAACTTCTGAACAGACACCTTTTTCAGAACAAACATCACACCTCTTCCAATAATTGCCTATAAATTCTGAGGCATGGCTTCGTTTTTAAGACACTGAAAAAAATTACAAAACTTCCTTCTTTCTGAAAATACTGCATTCTAATTCGCAGTCTCCCTCTCTCAAATTCTTAAGTGTGATTTTGCTCCGTTTTTTTGAGTTCGTCGGTATCCTGTAGTTTGTATTGCCACTGTTGCAGGAAGGTTTATCCGTTTCATCCTGGGAGGATTTAATCCATTACCTTGACAACGTGTGAGGGGGTTAAAATTCCTTAAGGACGCACAAGCAAATTGTGGACTCGGAATATTTCTTATTCTTTACTGTTTTCTAGTTTCTTTTATTCTTCTAACAGTTTTTTGATTTTGTGTTTTAACACAGTAGCGGATAACAAGCTTAAGGAATTTTAAACTAACATTTCTGTGTTGAAATATATATTAAACTGTTATTTATATTTTATATACTGGTTTGGAGACTAAAGCCTTCGTGCTTTCTACTCCAATAATTGTTCTATCCGGTTTAAAGTATATCAAAACTTTACCGGAATAATAAACGTGCGGGTTTGAAGTATATAAAAACTTCACCATTGTTACGTGTTGTATGTATGGTTTGGTATTCAGTTTGAAGATATCAAAACTTCACTGATTTAACAAAGTTCTGTTTTGTTTCCAACTTTACAGAAAAAATGACGAATGAAAACCAAACTAATGGAAATGTTGCGGGAACGGGTGCTACTAATTACGAATGTTGCTGCCTCGTCAAGCCGTTCAACTCCTGCTCATGCTATGGCACCAACAGAAAAACCCGAAAAGTTTTCCGGTATCGACTTCAAACGCTGGCAAATGAAGATGCTCTTCTATCTTACTACGTTGAGTTTGCAGCGATTCATCAAGGAGGATCCTCCGGTCCTGGCTGAAGACTCCAGATGATGAACGATTTGTGTAACTGAAGCATGGAAACTATTCTGATTTTCCTGTGACTAAAAAGTTACATTTTTAGAGTTTGTTTGGAAGATTAGTTTGTACAATTGTCTANCATGCTATGGCACCAGCAGAAAAACCCGGAAAGTTTTCCGGTATCGACTTCAAACGCTGGCAAATGAAGATGCTCTTCTATCTTACTACGTTGAGTTTGCAGCGATTCATCAAGGAGGATCCTCCGGTCCTGGCTGAAGACACTCCGGATGATGAACGATTTGTTGTAACTGAAGCATGGAAGCATTCTGATTTCTTGTGCAAAAACTACATTTTGAGTTGTTTGGAAGATAGCTTGTACAATGTCTATAGTGTCATGGAAACTTCATAAGCGTTATGGAATGCGCTTGAGAAAAAGTACAAGACTGAGGATGCCGGACTTAAGAAGTTCGTGGTTGCAAGGTTTTTGGATTTCAAGATGATTGACACGAGGTCGGTCATAACTCAAGTCAAAGAATTACAAGTCATTGTGCATGACCTCCTTGCTAAAGGTATGGTCATAAATGAGGCCTTTCAAGTCGCTGCTTTCATTGAGAAGTTACCTCCGTTGTGGAAGGACTTTAAGAACTAACTTAAACATAAGCGGAAGGAAATGACACTAGAAGACTTGATTGTTCGTTTGAAGATAGAAGAAGACAACAAAAATGCTGAAAAGAAGTCACGTGGAAGCTCGACAATAATAAGGGCTAACATTGTTGAGGAGGCGTCACAAAATAAGAAGAAAAAAAAGGCTTCTGGACCAAAGAATTACCCAAGCAAGAAAAAGTTCAAGGGTAATTGCCACAACTGTGGAAAATCTAGGCATAAGGCCGTGGATTGTCGTGCACCAAAGAATGATAAGAAGAAGAAGAATCAAGCTAACATGGTTGAAAATGCTGAAGAAATGGAGGACTTGTGTGCCATGTTGTCTGAATGCAACTTGGTAGGAAATCCTAAAGAATGGTGGATAGATTCTGGAGCCACCCGCCATGTTTGTGCTAACAAGGAGTTATTTTCTTCTTATGCCCCCGCAGGACCCGACGAGACAATTTTCATGAGAAATTCGTCTACAACGAAAATTGAAGGAGTTGGCAAGATTGCATTGAAGATGACGTCGGGAGAAATAGTGACTCTAAACCAAGTTCTCCATGTTCCAGAAATTCGCAAGAATCTTGTGTCTACCTCACTTCTTGTCAAGAATGGATTCAAATATATTTTTGTTTCTAATAGTGTTGTACTAAGTAAGAATGATATGTATGTAGGAAAAGGTTACCTGAATGAGGCCTTTTTAAGCTAAATGTAATAGCAGTTCCTATCAATAAAGTTAATATTTCTTCTTACTTACTTGAGTCAAACACTTTATGGCATTCACGCTTAGGTCACGTCAACTTCAAAACATTGCGA